ACACTGCCTACACCCTGCTCCAGATTTTTATGTTTTTTTTTTTCCTATGGTTTTAAAAAAAATATTTTCACATTTCTGTTTTCATTACGCCCTATCTGATTTATTTATTTATTTTGTGATTGTTGTTCTTATCATTAAGGATATTTTCCTTGGCGCCCCCCATGGGAGTCGGTTCATGTCCCAGTTACTCCTCCGCATGTTTACCTTGCGGGTTCCTGGGGAGGAGATGCGAGTTAAAGAAATGGTGGGATAGTGTTCTCTTAGAACTGACCAAGTTTATTTCCAGGGTTTTAATTCTTATACATTTTGTAAAGCAATAATTCAGACATAACTCAGAATTCGGTCATGTCTGGGAACAGAGAGTACAAAGAAGCTACCAAGGTGACTTGGTCAAAGCATTATTGAAACAGGGAATAGATAAAGAGTACTGCCTGTCCTTGATTGACTGGACAGATGTTGGAGCAGAGCACGGAAGCACATCCGGGAATCGCTGGGGGCAGGAGCGCACTCTGGCCCTCGCCCTCCTCTGTCCTGGAGCCTCTTCTCAACAGGATCCCACAGGCCTCTGCCGTCCCAGCTATCAGGTGGTTGCATTCCCACATCCTCCTCTGACCCAGCTTCCTGCTTATGGTCTGGGAAAGCAGTGGAGGATGACTCAAGTCTTTGGGACCCTGGACCCACTTGAAAAACTGGGAATAACCTCCTGGCTCTTGGCTCAGCTCCAGCCATTGTAGCCATTTGGGGAGTGAACCAGTGAAAGGGAGACCTCTCTTTCTCTCTCCTCTCTGTAACTCTGCCTTTCATTAAAACCCCTAAAAATAATAAAATAAACCCTTTTAAAAAGAGTACTTTTCTTGTGTTTTAATGGTAGCCTTTATGCCTATAATGCTGTTTCTTTAGGTAGTATTCAGTTCTTCTTTTACTTGATCTGTCACCTTTAAAAGTATCCTTAAATCCTTATATGTCACAGATGGGTCAGTAAGCAGGTTTGTTTTACTCCCAATCCATTCTTTAATGTCTTCCCAAATTTTATTAGTTGTATGCTTTTTACATCATCAAGGCATATTACATTTATGTGTGATCCTGTTAGATCAACCCCAACCATTTATTTAGTCTTAGTTCTGTACTTAAATATACTTAATGCTTTTCACTAGTCATTTTCTGGAATTGCGATATCTTATAATTTGTTCTTTAGGAATCTTCACGATCTCATAAAACCGATCATCTTACCTAGTTCTGTTTTATTCAGGGTTGGCTGTTCTTTCCTTGTGTTTCTTAAGAGTGTAGCTTTGCTGTTTAATATTTCTATAAATAAAACCGTTTCCAGCTTGTTTATTTTTCCTTTAGGTATTAATAGATTTATATGTTGTTTAGTCTGACAGGAATTCTGTACCTTTCAAGCCATTTTCTTAGGACATGTCCCACTGTTGACCACTTTTGGTCTTTTCCTGTTCTCTTTCAGGAGGAGAAGTCGAGTTTTTATCTGAAATACTTCTGTACCTATGTTTTGCTAATGTTAAAATGCAGGAAAATATAGAGAATAATATGAGAAATGTTTTAGTATTGATCAAAAAGGCAGCATTTTAAAATTTTACTTTTTTGGTAAAAAAAGAAATATTTTCAGCACAAATTCTCTCTGTTGCCTATTCTCACTTTCCTTTTTTCTACTTCTTGGCCTCCAAAGCAACAATAGTAATGAATTCAGAATATGTCTTTCCAGTTCATTTAAAAAATAATTTTTGTAAGCATTTATGGAATCATTAAAAAAAAGTGTTTTTGTTTTCATAGGTGATATTCCTTTTTTTTTTTTAAGGTTTATTTATTTTTGGGCCCGGCAGTGTGGCCTAGCGGCTGTCATTCTCACCTTGAAAGCTCCAGGATCACATATGGGCGCTGGTTCTAATCCCAGCAGCTCCGCTTCCCATCCAGCTCCCTGCTTGTGGCCTGGGAAAGCAGTTGAGGACGGCCCAACACCTTGGGACCCTGCACCCGTGTGGGAGACCTGGATGAAGTTCCTGGCTCCTGGCTTTGGATCAGCGTAGCACCAGCCGTTGCGCTCACTTGGGGAGTGAATCATTGGATGGAAGGTCTTCCTCTCTGTCTCTTCTCCTCTCTAGATTTATTTATTCATTATTCTCTCCTCCTTTCTAGATTTATTTATCTTTATTACAAAGTCAGATATACAGAGAGGAGGAAAGACAGAGAGGAAGATCTTCTGTACACTGATTTACCCATCAAGCGGCCACAATGGACGGAGCTGTGCCAATCCAAAGACAGAAGCCAGGAGCCATTTCCGGGTCTCCCACAAGGGTGCAGGATCCTTGACTGCTTTGGGCTGTCCTCAACTGCTTTCCCAGGCCACAAGCAGGGAGTTGGATGGGAAGCAGGGCTGCTGGGATTAGAAATGGTTCCCATATGGCATCCTGGTGCATTCAAGGTGAGGACTGTAGCTGCTAGGCCACTGTGCCAGGCCCCAAGGATGATATTCTTTACATTTTATTCTGCAGTTTGCTCCTGCTAAAATTATTTTTGTGATGTATTCTTCATAAATCTGTATTGAGGTATTATAACACAAAAATATTTTTTAAAGTTCATGGCAGGTAAAATTAAAAGATATTTAATTTGTAGCAAAAAAATATTGTAAATCCATTCACAAGAAAGGTTTTCAAAATACCCATAGTGAAAACAGTATGCCTGAATTTCAAATTGTTTTGGCAGCAAAATTGGTGCATGTTTTGAATCTATTTTTTATGCATTAAAAAAAAATTGAAATCCGTGTTTTAAAAAAAGGTTTATTTACTTAAAAAAAGTTATTTCCTTTCATTGGAAAGGCAGATTTACAGAGACTAGGGGACAGATCTTGCTTCTGCTGGTTCACTTCCCAATGGGTTACAGCAACCAGAGGTGACCCATTTTGAAGCCAGAACTAAGAGTTTTCTGCAGAACTCCCACATAGGTACAACGAGGCTTTGGGCCGTCCTCTACTGCTTTTCCTGGCCATAAGTTGAGAGCTGGATAGGAAATAGAGCAGCCACTTATGGGCCCATGTGGGCATCCAGGACACGAACCGGTGTGCCTGTGGAGTGCCAACATTTGCACTCAGAGCATTACCCAGCTGAGTTATCATGCTAGCCCCAATCCCATTGCTTTTAAATTGTTAGAGAATTCTGTGTTTTGAATTTACTATGTTTTATTTAATGTTTCTGATAGTTAGATTGTTTCCATTTTTGGCTGTCTTTTATAGTGTAGAATACATTTTTACCTAGAATTATTGGAATGTAGACATATCTGCATTAATTTACTAAATACTGAAATTGTCATTGGAAATGATTCTATCAGTGTATACTTCTACCAACAGTGTCTGAAAGTTCTTTTTATGAACTCGTTTGATATTCTTCAGCCGACATTTCTAATGTTGCTGTTTATATCATCAATTCTGCCCATGTGATGGAAGGAAACACTTACGTGGTTGTCTTAGTTCACTAGTGAGATTTATCAACTTTCCAGGAATGAAGTCTCCATGATGTTTTTCTCTTTTGTAATTATTTGTGCATGTTTTCAACCCATTTTGGGACACTAAGATTATTTGCCTCTTTCTTGTTGAACTATCGAACTTATTCCATATTCTAAGACTATATTTAACTTTGTGGTTTCTTCCATATCAAGGTTTTTAATGTTAATATCCGATGCATTCCACTTTCTCCATTATCATTTGTGATTTATTATGGTCTTGATTTACTAAATCTTCCCCTGAATAGGGTCTTAAAAGCAGCCTCCCTTATATTTTAAAATTTCATTTACTTATTTTGAGAAGCAGAGAAACAGATATAAAGAAACACAAAGTTCTCAATTAGGTTCACTGCCAAAATGCCCACAATTTCTGGAGTTAGGCCCAGGCAAAGCCAAGAATCCAGAGCTCAATCCATACGAATTGTAGAAACCTAACAACCCGAACCATCGCCTGCCACCTGCTAGAGTGCATGTTAGCAGGAAGCCCGAATCAGGTGCAAAGCCAGGGCATCTTAACGGGTATCCTAGCTGCCCTGCTAAATTCCAACCCCTCTGTTGTTTTTATTAATTTAAGGTTTTTTTTTTTTTTTTTTTTTTTTTTTTCTTTGCTTAAGCCTGTAATACATGTGGACTTTAACTTTTTTAAGAGACTTTTTTTTTAAGGCTGGTTTTTGGAAAAATGGGTCGACAGAGAGATCTTCCATATACTGCTTCATTCCTAGAACTGAGCCGATTTTTATTAATTTCTTTTGCCTTTTTTGTGTTTCAGTTTTTTTTTTCCCATAATGTTTTGTGTGCCCTAGCAAAGAAAAAAAAAAAAAAAAAAAAAAAAAAAAAAAGATACATTTGCTTTCTTGGTATTTTTCAGACTTGGAGTCTTGGTGTAAAATCAAGCAGTTATCTCCAAAATGCTTCATTGATGAAGAGGAAATATCCCAGGGAATGGTAATGGGAAGACTTAGAAGAAATGGCCTTGAATGCTCCAGCTTCAAAGAACCCTGGAAATATGTGAGTGAATTTGAGCATGAAGGAGATCAGAAGAGACATTTCAAGCAAGTGACAACTCCTAAGGTGATCTCTAATGGGAAGAAAGACAATGAGTATTATAATTCTGATGAGACCATTTCTCTGAAATCACAATTTTTAGCACAACAGAGAGTTCCTGCATTACACCACATACATAAATTTCATATGTATGATAAAATATTTCCCCCAAGTTCACTCATAATTGACTGTAAAAGACTCCATGCTGAGCAGGGATCTTTGATAGGTAGTGAAAGTGACGAATTCATCCAGAGAACGCACTTCTGTAAAGCTACAGGAATTCCTTCTGGTGAGAAGCTATATGAAGGTAATGGTTTCTCAAATTTCTTTGGTTTCCACTCATTACTTTCTCAACATCCAACTTCTCATTTTGGAAGATTAACCCGTGATTATGATGCATGTGGTGGTGCTTTTAGCTGTTACCCATTCTTTACACAACCTCATAGAATTCACAATGGAGAGAAACCATATATATGCAATATCTGCGGAAAAGCCTTTAGCCATGTCTTCTTTCTTAGTAAACATCAGAGAATTCATAATGGAGAAAAACCTTATGAATGTAAGGAATGCCACAAAGCCTTCAGACAGAGTGCACACCTTGCTCAACATCAGAGAATCCACACAGGGGAGAAACCGTTCGTATGCAGTGACTGTGGAAAGGCATTTAGTCGTTATGCCTTCCTGGTTGAACATCAGAGAATTCACACAGGAGAAAAACCATATGAATGTAAGCACTGTAACAAAGCCTTCAGACAAAGTGCACACCTTAATCAACATCAGAGAATTCACACTGGAGAGAAACCTTATAAGTGTAATCATTGTGGAAAAGCCTTCAGCAGACGCATAGCTCTTACTCTGCATGTAAGAATTCATACAGGAGAGAAACCCTTCGAATGCAGTGAATGTGGGAAGACTTTTGGCTATCGCTCACACCTTAATCAACATCAGAGAATTCATACCGGAGAAAAGCCCTATGAATGCATTCAGTGTGGCAAGTGTTTTAGAACTGACTCACAACTTAACCGACACCACAGAATTCATACTGGAGAGAGACCATTTGAGTGCACTAAATGTGGGGAAGCCTTCAGTGATGCTTTAGTTCTAATTCACCATAAGAGAAGTCATGCAGGAGAGAAACCCTATGAATGCAATGAATGCGGGAAGGCCTTCAGCTGTGGCTCATACCTTAATCAGCATCAGAGAATTCATACTGGGGAGAAACCCTATGAGTGTAATGAATGTGGGAAAGCTTTCCATCAAATCTTGTCCCTTAGGCTACACCAGAGAATTCATTCCGGAGAAAAACCCTATGAATGTAATGAATGTGGGGATAATTTTACTTGTGCCTCAGCTCTTAGACGGCATCAGAGAATTCATAATAGAGAAACTCTCTGATTATAATGAGTGTAGGAAGGAAAATACGTAGTCACCCCTGCATCTTTATGTAGTATCAGTGAATTATTTCTAGGTAGTAGTTGTATGAATGTAGTACATATAGAAAAGCCCTCATTTCATAAACATCCCTTATTGGAATAGCCAGAATAGGACACATTTGTTACTTTTTTATCTGTTCTTTACCCATATCTGTGCCATCTTCGATATATATAATCCTAGTGAAACTTAAATAGGGAAAATAGTGGATTGGTCACCCAATGGCCAGTTATCCCATTGATAAATTGATAAGGGATTGGCAAATTGGCCTTATCAAGGCCCATAAAGCCCCTTGGGTGTATTGTTATGCATAGTAAGATATTTCCCTGGAATTGGAGGTTTCAGGGGTTCAACAAGTCCAATAATTTTTGCCACTTGCTGAGGAAAGCCTTCCTAAAGACAAACTGAATTATAAAAAAATGGACTTGAGAGACAGAAATCTGATAACACTAATCTCCTAAATTCTTGTGATCTAATACATTCCCTTTTGTTTTGGCACAAATTCATTTAAATTAGGTTTTGCCTCTTGGAATTGGTAACTTAGGGTAAGTGCCAGCTTCCCCTATGATCACTGTATCTGTGAGAAGGCCTTAATCTTTTATGCAACATATTTGGTTATGCTAAAGATAAAAATTATGATATTAGTAGTGAAAATTTAATATACAACTTTCATCAACTTGGCAAATGATTACATTTTATTTGTTGATGGAAATTGATGTTTATTAGTATGATTCACATCATGTATAAATATTTTAAAATTCACCCAGTAAAATTTCTTTAAAAACTTTTTCTTAAGGAGTTGAGGTTGTTTTTACATGACTTATTTTAGAGGAAATGGAAAGCTAAGAGAATAATGAATTCATCATTTAGTGAATGACTCTATTTTAAACTTTAAGCATTGGTTTAAATATACTACACAGCAGCATATAATATGACAGGATTCTAAATGAGATTTTTTTAAGATTTATTTATTTCTATTGGAAAGACAGATATACAGAGGAGGAGAGGCTGAGAGGAAGATCTTCTGTCTGCTGGTTTACTCCCCAAGCAGCCACAACGGCTGGAGCTGAGCCAACCTGAACCCGGGAGCCAGGAACTTCCTCTTCCTGGTCTCCCACGCAGGTGCAGGGTCCCAAGGCTTTAGGCCATCCTCAATGCTTTCCCAGGCCACAAGCAGGGAGCTGGATGGAAAGCAGGACTGCCAGGATTAGAACCAGCACCCATATGGGATCCCAGTGTGTGCAAGGCAAGGGCTTAACTACTATGCTATCACGCCGGGCCCTAAATGAGATCTTCGGTGGTTGGGTAAAAACATGGTTAAGAATTTTTTTGACAAATTCGTTGGATTAGATACCAGACAGAGATATTGGTATTAGAAAGAATGAGCCCTTCCCAATGAATGATAAAGAGTTGATGACTAAAATTTTTAGGTAATAAATCTTTATCACTATACAGTGTAATCAGAAAGAGGAGGATGTAAAACGAAATATTTCTATGAGTAGTAAATCTAAATGGGTGTTGAGAAGCAAAATCAGTTGATACACAAACAACCATGTTGAACAGAATCTTGGGCATTGTCTGAGACCATTTATGAAACAAATGGATTAAGAAATAGTGAAAGATTCAGTTCTATGCATAAAGCAGAATAATGGCTAATTGTATGATTTATTAGTGAATTTATACTTAGAACTAATAAACTCTAAAATTTTTTTCTTAAATGTTGACAATGTATCTTTAAAGAAATTAAGCTGCAAACTTACTATAAACAGAACTTCAAACCATGAGCAAAAACAAATTATTATAAAACATGGTCAAGCTTATTTAAAGCTAATATATATCTAATATAAAATGTTAACATAATAAGGTTAATTCATGTCATTTTTTAATTATTTTATTGGAAAGACAGATTTATAGAGAGGAGAGACAAAGATCTTCTGTCTGCTGTTTCACTCCCTAAATGGCCGCAACAGCCAGACCTGCGCTGATCTGAAGCCAGGAACCAGGAGCTAGAAGCTTCTGGGTCTGCTACGCAAGTGGATGCAGGGTCCCAAGGCCTTGGGCTGTCCTCTACTGCTTTCCCAGGCCACAAGCAGGGAGCTGGACAGGAAAATAGAGAAGCTGGGACTGGAACTGGGACCCATATGTGATGCTGGCACTTTCAAGGCAAGGATTTAGCCACTGAGCCATTGTACTGGGCCCCAGTTTATGTCATTTCTTTGTCTTTTACTTCTATGAAGTATAGGAATGTTTGTTTAAATAATTTCTCAGTATGGAGTAATAATTTGTTTTGATTATCAAACTTTGCAAGTAATTTGTCAAGAGTACGTTAAGCTTATCAGGCCTAACAGAAGAATAATAAGTTAGACCACTGAAGAGTTTGATTGATTCAACCATTGTTTTTGTTTTTGTTTTTGTTTTTGGTTGAGATGTTGCATCTGATTTTTTTCTCAATGATAGTATAAACCTAAGCTCCGAGTTGATTCTGTGTATTCACAGCTAAACTTCACATGCAATATTAGTCATCTTTTTAAACTAAGTCTTTAGTAGCTTGTGCTATTAGCTTGTTCCCTCCTATCATAGGTTTTCTTTATAGAAGCATTTTCAGATAGCTTTTCCTGAAAAAAAAAAACACAGTGTGAAACTTAATTATTTCCCCACAGGATACTTGGGCTGCACATGCATTTACGGCAGGATTACTGCCGTTTCAGTGGTGCTTTTTTAGATACAGCTGGAGAAAGTCTTCCTTGTAGACATGGGTTTCACATTGATTTCTAGTTTCTGCTTTGTATATTAATTTATCATGCTCGACTAATATTTTACTGGTTTACTTCGTAAAACTCAAGATAGCTATAAGGTCCTGGCATGATAGACTAGTGGATAAGTCCTTGCCTTAGACACTTTGGGATCCCATATGGACGCCAGTTCATATCCAGACTGCTCTACTTCCCTTCCAGCTCCCTGCCTGTGGCCTGCAACCTTGGGACCCCGCACCCATGTGGCAGACCCAGAAGAAACTCCTGGCCCCTGGCTTCTGGATTGGCTCAGCTCTGGCCATTGCAGCACTTTAGGAGTGAACTAGTAGATAGAAGATCTTTCTTTCGGTCTCTCCTCTGTATATCCGCCTTTCCAATAAAAAAAAATTTTCTTAAATCTTAAAAAAAAAAAAGATTTATTTGTTTGAAATTCAGAGTTAAGCAAAGAGGGAAAGAGAGAAAGCGAAAGAAAGATCATCCTCTTGCTCAGTCCCCAGATGGTTGCAGTCCAAGGCTGGGCAAAGCCAAAGCCAGGAGCTTCAGCCAGATGTCCCACGTTGGTGCAAGGTCCCGAGATTATTGAACAATCTTGTACTGCTTTTCGCACTCCTTAGCAGGGAGCTGGTTTGGAGGTGGAGTATGTATGATTCTAATCAGAGCCTGTTGGGTTGCTAACATCAGCTGCTTTATGTACTGTGCACAACCCATTGTCAGCGTAACGTATTCTGCCAGAAAAGGCAGTGGAATTTTTTTTTTTTGATTATTGGAACAAGTATGGATGTTGGAATTAAATCTATATATGGATATCAACTCTTCGGTTAGAAGAGCTTGAAAAGATGATATTAATCTGGAATGATGATTGCTACTTTCAAAGTTTCTCTGACAACTGCATGAAATAATATATGTAAACAGATAATATTATTTTTTTCAAAAGATTTATTTTTATTGGAAAGCCAGATCAGATTTACAGAGAGGAGAGACAGAAAGCTCTTCCATCCGCTGGTTCTGGATCTTCCATCTGCTTCGGGAACCAGAAGCTTTTTCCAGGTCTCCCATGTGGGTGCAGGGTTCCAAGGCTTTGGATTGTCCTCAACTGCTTTCACAGGCCTTAAGCAGGGAATTGGAGAGGAAGTGAGGCAGCTGGGCACAGACCAACACCCATATGGGATACTGGAGCTTGCAAGGTAAGGATTTAGTCTTTTAGCCATCACACCAAGCCTCATATAGCATCATTATTGATTAAATCCAACACAGAAAGTTTAAGTGAATGAGAGCCCGCTGCTCCTGGCAGACAGAACGTGCCCTGTGTCATATTTCCCATGAGTCCGAAATGGTGGCTGTCCTGGCCCTTCTTTGTGATGGTAAAGAGTGAACAAACCTCAGAGTCTCAAAATTCCCTCTTCCAGGATATTTGAAGCACTGTCTTTTATTAATTGGTGCTAGGAAGAGAAAAAGAACAAGGCTTTTTATTTTTTATCCTCTGGGAGACTGGGGGAGAAGCCTTAGTTTATATTACATTTTTTTATCCTTCTTTTATGGATATATGTATACTAGAAGGGCAGAATGACACAGGGAGAGGGAGAGGGAGGGGAGAAAGAGAAAGAAAGAGTTCCTATCTAAACTGCCCAGATGCCATAGTAGCCAGGTTACTGGCCAGGCTGAGTCTGGAAACCCGGAACTCCCTCGTCTCCCACCTGGGGCAGAGGCCCAAGCCCTTAGGTTGTCTTGTGCTGGCTTCCAAGACTCATGTGCACAGGGCAGAATCAGAAGTGGAGCAGCCAGGACTCAAATGCACTGGCCAGGTAGTACATTTTCAGAATAACTTAGGATGACACTCATATTTAAATACGTTCTCTTGCCTCAGATCATTCCTCACTTCTTTTCTTCCCCATCAGGGGTACTCCCAGCACTTTCTGTATCCTTACAACATTTTCTTTCTTTCCTTCTTTTTTTTTTTAATATATTTTGGTAGTCAAGATCTTCCAAAGACTTGGGAATTTAATTTCATTTTTTAAAAAAAGATTTATTTTTATTGGAAAGGCAGATGTACAGAGAGGAGTAGAGACAGAGAGGAAGATCTTCCGTCCGATGATTCACTCCCCAAGTGGCCGCAACGATCAGTGCTGCGTCAATCTGAAGCCAGGAGCCAGAACTTCTTTCCAGATCTCCCACTCGGGTGCAGGGTCCCAAAGCTTTGGGCCGTCCTCGACTGCTTTCCCAGGCCGCAAGCCGGGAGCTGGATGGGAAGTGGAGCTGCCGTGATTAGAAACCAGCGCCCATATGGGATCCTGGCGTGTTCAAGGCGAGGACTTTAACCAATACGCTATCGCGCCGGGCCCACAACATTTTCAATTATCCTTCTTGGATGTTTTACTTCACACTATTATTGACTGTTGGTGGATTGGAAAATATCTGCATATAATTCTCAATCATTTGAATTCTTTCATAGAGTGTTTTTTCTTATGCTGTTTATCCCTTATCAAATAGATCATTAAATCCATGCATAAGTTAGATTATAGTTTATGTGTAAATCCATCTTGGCTTGACATTATTTTTGCTTTCAAGAGGATGTGTCTGTGTATGTTTTCGGTTTGTTAAGTTTATTGAAATGTATTCATTTTGTGTGGGTTATCAAATTTGGTTGCAAATAGTTGCCCATAATAGTCTATTATGGTTATTCTAACTTTATACTTTGTTACTTATTTTTCTTGCATATTTCCTTCTTTTTGATTATCAGCTTTGACAGAAGCCTATGTAATCTACTTTTTTCTATTTCAAATTTCTATAAGGTAAGCGAATGCCATGTGAAATCTAGGTTGAGGAGCATCATAACTCCCGCCCGCCTGCATTCTCTACCCACCATCCTCCTCCTTATTAATATGTTTTGTAAAATTTTTACAGTGGCATGTTTTTATCTTACAATCACAAAGTTAACAGTACATAAGGTAAGAATTCCACATCTTGTCAAAACCTTAATTTTGTTACCCTCTTAAATTTCCTAATTTCCTATTTTATTGATTTCTGCCCTTTACATTCATTTTGTTTCTTTTGCTGTGCTCTGTCCTCTTCTTCTGTTTTTAAAGTATGAATTTGTGCTTTTTGTTTATTTTAATGTTTAAATCTAGAAATTTTCTTCTAAGTGCTACGTAAGTTTTGCCCCAAGATTTGGCATTTATTATTTCCGCTTCCACGCATTTTATGATTTACTCTAGGTGCCTTCTTTTCTTCCCATCTCCCGAGCTCCCTAAAGCAATCTGGTGGGCAGGAGGTTCTCAGAATCTTCCCTTCCCCCTACTCCTGACAGAGCTTGCTCCTCTCCATCTTTGACGTCAGTGCCTTCTGGTCCTTCTCTACCATTAAAGCTCCTTCCTGTACAGACATAGGACTCGGTACGCTTCCGTTAGCTCGCTGGCGGTTGGACAGCACAGCGCTGTGGTTCTGTCTGGCGTTTACGTCACTGCGAGCGCTAGCGTCTCTCGCCAAACTACGATTCCCAGAGGCCTTCGCGTCGAGCCTGGTTCAACCTCATACCGAACTACGTTTCCCAGAGGCCACTGCGGGCCAGTCCTGGTTTCAGAGGTAGCGCAGTTCTCACCTCGGCGGGCTGAGGGAAGGAGCCTGAGGCGGGATGCTTGTATCCGGTGGGCACCAGGTGAGGTGGCCGAACGCTGCCCGTGAGGGCCAGGGATCAGCCGGACGGCTTCGGAGCTACCTGCGTATTCTGACGCGTACGAGTGCCTGCGGGTGTTGGGTTTAGTGGGCGTGTGTGTGTGAGCTGCAGCAGTGCATGAGAGCATGTGGCTGTGTGTGGTGTCGCCGGCCGGGGGCTAGCCTGTGGGTGTGTTAACTTGAGGAGAGTGCTACGTGCACCTTAGTGTAACGAAGGTGCTGTGCTGGGTGACTGTGACGCTGCCACCCGGTTGGTGACCGTGTGTGGCCATGGGCATCTGCCCCTTAACCTTTCGTACCTCAGCGAGTCCGAGGTGTTTGGACATATCTCTGCCTCAGGTAGTGGGCGACTCTGGTAAAAAGGCGAAAATGCAAACCTCGGTATCCCCCGTTCCCCTGCAGTGTGACTTCTGTTTAGGGGGTACAGACAGGGAGAGCCATGCCTTGTGTGGGTGGCACCTCAGGGCCAGCGGTTTCGGTCGTCTGTGGTGTCTGCAACTACCAGTACCTGCTTGTTCTTCCTCTCAGGAAATCACTGGGGACATTACCTGTAGGAGAGAGGACAGGAGGGGTTGGGCACAGACACAGTCTACTGAGTTGCAAACTTGGGCTTCAGATGCAAAATGTGCCAGTGTGACTCCGTGTCACATACGTAGATCAGCCATTATTCTGAAAACTGCATTTTTCTTGTGGAATAAAGGCGAGTTTGGGGGATTAGAGGAATCTGAATTCTACTCTGAGCTTCTTCACTGTGTTGGGGTGCAACCAGGTGATAGCACCCCAGAGAACTGGGCAGGTTTGCTAGGATAATTGAATGTTTGCACTGCTTGGAAACTTTGTGCTCCAGCAGCTCCACGGCCCTGCCCTTCCTGCCACTTCCCACATGAACTGCCATGAGGAGACAGCTAGTCCTGTGGGCATTTGGGCCCAATGGAATGCAAGGGCCAGGCTGGCTGGTGGGAAGGTAGGGCAGTTGGTAAACAGGTCAATTAAACTGCTCTGAGTTCCAGAGAGTTTAAAAACCTATGACTTCAGCCAAGCAGTGTGCAGTGGCTCCTGGAGTGTAGCGGGAGCTGCCGTTGCCAAGCTTGAACAAGACAACCCCTTACACCCCTGCACTTGTGTCCGGCATGAGCTCTCTCGGTGTCTGCAACATTCACCTACAAACTATATAGCAGCCAGCAGACACTGTCTTTATCTGTGTGTATATGTCCTGTTGGTCCTCCTTCTCTGGAGAATCCAGGATAATGAGATCCACTTACTATGTTTACAGATCTGGAAACATATCAGTGGTATGATAGGCCAACCACCTTATGTATGTGTGCCATCATTGGCTGAGTCACTGACAGACATCAAGGTTTTAAGTAACTGGTGATATGTATTATATGTTCATATTTTTCCAGATAATCTGAGGATTTTTAGAGATCATGTGGTGTTGTGATTAAGTGTTGAGCAGAAAGTTTCAGGTACTGATCTTCAGGCGAGGATGCCCGCTGTGTGGGAGGTGCCCAGGAGCACAACAGTGCTAACCACAGAAGTAGGTACCTAGAGGGCTCAGCCCTCTGCGTCATCTATAGGTTGGTAATGGCCAAAGGATGACTAAACCACACAGGGGGCTGCCACTGTTTATCCATAGCAAGAAGACAAGAACCAGCACTGTTAGTACTGTTTGTCTGTGCTGGCCTCCCATGGTTAGCCAGACTCCCTCAATAGCCAGTGCACGGCAATGGACTGTAAGCACCTCTTCTGTGCTGCTGGCATACATCCTGTACTTGTGTGTTCCTGCTCCTGTGCTTGGAGCCAATATACTTACAGGTCTAGCCTGATGCTATAGGCTAACACGCACTTAAGTAATACAAGAAAGGAAATCTACTACTTACCCAGAATGAGAAAGATTTCCCTTAATAAGAAATCTGGTACCAAGTGGCATCTGGCCTTTCTATAAAAGAATGTCTCAAGCTCATGGCACTGAGCAATCATGATATTCTTAAGCTTTTTCTCTAACAGTGCACATCTGCTGACCTGGGGTGAAGAAACGAACGAACAAAGCATAACCAATAGGACCAACAGTTACCCCAAATATGGAAATTAAATTGTGCTCACTGTGGTCCCTGAATGACTGGAATGGACTCCCAAAGCAACCCTGCCCTACTGACATAGCATTAGATCAGAGCGACTAACAGTGTTGGTACCAGGAGGAAGGTCAGGCTTTCCTAGACTATGATTCTGGGCAGGAGCCCAAAGTCCTGAGGTTTAGCCAGGTAAAAAGGTGGAAGGATTAGTTTAATGGGAATGGCAGGTTTACAAAAGAAAACGTGTTGCTTGAATGTAAATTTTTCGCAGCTGGGTCTGAACCTTCCCGGGATTGTTGCATTTACAGGAAAAGATGGTAGGTAGTAACACCATCTTTCACCATCTATCCTTCTATCAGATAGTCAAGAGTTCTGAATGACTTGCCAGTAATATTACCTAAATAAGTAACTTTTTCTCATTGGAGTTCCGTAAGATACAAAACCATATGACAGTGATTTTTCTGCAGGGTGACCATGGTAGTACTGATATCACACATAACGTATGTGGGTGGCATTTCTGTACCAGAGTAAGTGTGAACTGCTATAACCAACAACAGAATCCATGGTTGGTTATTAAAGATCTAGTACAATCCATCTACCAAACCCAAGCTGAGTCAATATTCCCGTTTATGTCCTACTAATTCTATGTGTTGTTTCACTTGGGGCTTCTTGGCAACAATCAAGAGTTCCTCACATCTCTGGCTTCTGTGTCTCCTAGGATTACCCCCTCTCGGTTTAGACCATTCCTGCATTCCAGTCATTCATAGAAGTCCATCTCAAATGCAGCAAAGGTGTGTTATCATTTTCTTGGTAATAGTGATACTAGATTCCATAGGGGTGAAGGGTAGGATGTTGGCATCATTCTACAATAATCTGTAGTCAGACTGAATGCCAGAAGCTTTTTTTTTTTAATTCATTCTATTCATTCAAATATACTTGGGAATATTTGCTCCATCAGTCACTACACCCACACTGAAGATGTATTTCTACTCAAGTTCATAATAACTATCTCATTTTAATATCTGAATTCCATGCCAGGATTTTAGGGATGTAAAAAGTATATCATGGCAAGTGAAGTGGTGATACAGACTTTGCAAATTTAATGGAACAAAGTGTAATGCAGATCATTATTAGGGAACTTCTGATTGAATTTAATGTCAACAGATACATGCAATAGCTTTAGGACAAACTTATGCTTTGAAAAGGTAAGGTCCTGGGCCCGGCGCAGTGGCCTAGCGGCTAAAGTCCTCGCCTTGCACACACCAGGATCCCATATAGGCACCGGCTCTAATTCTGGCAGCCCTGCTTCCCACCCAGCTCCCTGTTTGTGGCCTGGGAAAGCAGTTGAGGATGGCCCAAAGCCTTGGGACCCTGCACCCGTGTGAGAGACCTGGAAGAGCTCCTGGCTCCTGGCTTTAGATCGGCTCAGCACCAGCTATTGCAGCCGCTTGGGGAGTGAGCCATTGGACAGAAGATCTTCCTCTGTCTCTCCTCCTCTCTATATATCTGACTTTCCAATAAAAAATAAATAAATCTTTTAAAAAAAGAAAGAAAAGGTAAGGTCCTGAGTGACTATGTATTTCATAACTTAGAACACTTTTGTCAAACTGCTAAGTATATTGAGATTTACTAGTTATTCCCAATTGTGCTTGAAGAAGCGGAAAAGAAAAACATCAATTCAGGACTTCAAATTCCCACCTCAAGTGTAGCATCAATGAAAAATTCTGTTTACCCTAAAAATACAAAAACAGAATCCTTATCTCATAGCTGTAGAACTGAGATTGATGAACACGAAACCCAGATTTTTATCCTACAGTGTCCAGATTAAACCAAATTAAAGGCCAGCCTGCTGCTAACATTTACAGAAACTTTCTACATGCCCTGGATCTTTACTTAGCACACAGAAAATCATTGAGACATAATAATTTTGGTCATGATCTAATGTATGTATGCTTGGCTTGACTTATTAGTACATTAGGTCACATTTTCTGTAGGCATGAATTGTCTCTCTCCCTCACTCCAAAACCAACCCAGATGTAGGTAGGTTTCTTCTTCCAAAAGGAAGTAATCATTTTCCTTTAGTACTTTCAGCTATGGGACAGACTTTTTAAAATTTAGGCATAGGTGTTGTGGCACAGCAAATTAAGGGTTACTCTGTGAAAAGTCACCACCATTCAGATAATTCAGTGTCTGGTTCGAGTCCTGCCTACCCAATGCATCTGACCCAGCTTCTTGCTCATGTACCTGGGAGGCAGCGGATGATGGCCCAGGAAGTTCAATTCCTTTCACCCATGTGGGAGATCTGGATGAAGTTCCTGGTTCCTGGCTTCAGCCTGATGTAGCTCTGGCTATCATGGGCATTTGGACAGTGAGTCAGCAGATGAAGATGCACCAGATGATGGGCTAAGTAGTGGGTTCTATGCCATTCTTGTGGTGAATGCAAATTGAACACCTTATCCTGGTTTTTGCTTGATCTAGCCTTGCCTGTTGAAAGCATTTAAAGAGTGAACAAATAAAAGCTCCCCATTTCTTTAACTTTCAAATAAACAAATAAATATTTAAAATTAGTGTTTCATCAAGAATAAGAACCCAGTTTAAAATGATTTCTGAAGATCCATGTTTCTTCTACCTGATTCTTGCTTAAAGGCATTAGGAAACTAAGAGCAGGAACTGAAACCCATAATTAATTTTGACAACCAGTTTTGTGACTATATTTCTTATTTTATTGAAGAAATGTTATAGACAAATGTGACAAGTTCTGTGAAAGCTTTCCACAAATGAAAATACAACCAATGTCATATATGGATACAAAATCAATACACAGTCATATTCTTTGTGCTATCTTATTATACAAATGTTATACCAGGTTTCATTGTGCATGTTGCTCTTTTCTCAAACTGTTATTACACCTACCATTTAACTTTGTGACTTTTGTAATCCAAATATTGTATAGCATTCACAGAAACAATCATATTGTGCTTATCTCCCCCATCTATTTATGGCAGCTTATGTTAGATCCAATTTAGACAATACAAACTATGATGTAGTAAACATAATGCAAGATATCTCTGTGCACATATATCGTTGCTTCCAAGCCAGTACTCCAAAATAGAGCTGATTATTCCATATTTTCAAGTAATTAAAGAAATCACATTACTTAAAGGTAGTAAATATATCCTATTATCAGCTTTAGGATTTTTATCTATATGCTCTGCTGTTTAATCTGTTTCAGTTTTATCAGTTTTTATATACTATTGTATAAGATAGAGCATTTTTGCTTATGCCTCCTCTACTTACTAGATAAGCAGTGCTTTTCCCATTGATGTCAACAGCACTGTCACCCACAGAATCCCCGTATTTTCTTGGATTTTTGTATTAATCTTCAGTTGTTGCATTGATCCATTTACCACTCACTCAATAACCCAGTTTAAATGACAATAGCTTTAAGTAAAGTATGTGATAATATGTAGTAAAGTATGCCTTCTGTATTTGCTTTTGCTTTGTCAAGTTTCAACTATTTAAGGGCCATTGTCTTATATAAACATTTTGAAATTCGTTTTGAAATTCTTTACAATATAACTGGCATAAGTACATTAAACTCAAGAAATTGGAAGACTCATTTTTATAATGTCTAATCTTTTCAGATATAACGCCATTTTCCCATTTTTCAAGTCTTCTTTTGTGCCTTTATATGTTTTATAACTGTATATATTGAAATCACATAATTCTGTTTATTATTATTTTTAGCAACACATTTCTATTTAACTATTTCTCTAATAAAAGGTCATTTTATGCTTTTTTCCCCCAGTCTTTTTCTTGCCTAATACATTGGCTAGGTATCTGGTTTCCAACTTTAATGAGAGTGCTGATTGTTTCTTATGTCTGCTGAAGGTTTTTGATCAGCTTTCTCATTGAACACTGTCATTTTGGCAAGATTTAGCTAGTGTGTCATAAATGTGTGACTTTTTCACAAGGCTTTCCCAAACTCCGTTTTCTACTTGAGAACCTGCTGTGTAATGTGCAATGAGATGTTAAATCCTTCTGAAGGCGTGCCCATTTTTACAGTACTCGCCGGGCTTCTAATGAGTATGAATTCTCTGGTGTCTCACAAGGTGTGACTTTTGACTAAAAGCTTTGCCACACTCAATACAATGATAGGGTTTCTCGCCTGTATGTTTTCTCATATGAAGAGTAAGGGATGAAATCTGAGAGAAGGCTTTTCCACATTTACTGCAGTCAAAGGGTTTCTCACCTGTGTGACCCCGTATGTGTATAGTAAGGGAAGAGCTCTGAGAGAAGGCTTTGCCACATTTATTACATTCATAGGGTTTCTCACCTGTATGGCCTCTCATATGCACAATGAGGGAAGTTCGTTGCGAGAAGGCTTTCCCACATTCCTTACATACATAAGGCTTCTCCCCTGTGTGACTTCTCATGTGCAAATTAAGCAGTGAGCACTGAGAGAAGGCTTTCCCACATTTATCACATTCATAAGGCTTTTCCCCTGTATGACTTCTCAAATGAAGTGTAAGGGATGCAATTTGGGAGAAGGCTTTACCACACTTATTACAGTCGTAAGGTTTCTCTCCAGTATGAACTTTCTGATGTGTGATAAAGTTTTGCTTTTGGCTGAAGGCTTTACCACATTCGTTACATTCATAGGGTTTCTCTCCAGAATGAATTTTTTCATGAGCAATGAGATTTGATTTCTGGCTAAATGCTTTGTTACATTCCTTACATGCATAGGGTTTTTCTCCAGTATGAATCCTATGGTGTCTAACAAGGTTTGACATCTGAATGAAAGCTTTCCCACATTCATTGCATTCATAAGGTTTCTCTCTAGTGTGAATTTTTTGATGTGTAATGAAGTTCTTCTTGTGGCTGAAAGATTTTTTGCATTCCTTGCATTCATAGGGTTTCTCACCAGTGTGACTTCTCATGTGTACTGTAAGGGCAGAACTTTGAGAGAAGGCTTTTCCGCATTCATTACATTCATAAGGTTTCTCACCTGTATGAATTCTTACATGTATAATAAGCATGGAAAACTGAGAGAAGGATTTCCCACATTTATCACATTTATAAGGTTTTTCTCCTGTGTGACTTCTCATATGGAGAGCAAGGGATGCGATTCGAGGGAAGGCTTTCCCGCAGTCAGGACACGCATACGGCTTCTCCCCAGTATGAACTTTCTGATGTGCAGTGAGGCTTTGCTTCTGGCTGAAAGCTCTTCCACACTCGTGACATTCATAAGGCTTCTCTCCAGTATGAATTTTTTCATGATCAATAAGGTTTGACTTCTGGCCGAAGGATTTTCCACATTCCTTACATCTGTAGGGTTTCTCTCCTGTATGAATTCTTTGATGTCTAATGAGATTTGACATTTTCATGAAAACTTTTCCGCATTCATTGCATTCATAAGAAAGCTCCCCCTTGTGGATTTTATGATGCGCAATGAGTTTTTCCTTGTGGCTGAAGGTTTTCCTACATTTATTACATTCATAAAGTTTCTCTCTATTATGAATTCTTAGGTGTCTGATGAGTTCCAATGTTTGATCGAAACCTTTTCCACAATGATTACATGTAAAGGGGGATATTACAAGATGCGATGAATTATAACCATATGTTTTCACAGCTTCATTATATTCACAATGTTCCTTTCTTAAAGGGCATTTCACATTATCATGACAATAAAAATTATGTTCTAAACACTTTCCAAATAAGTCATATTCGTAGAGTTTGTGTCTGGAAGAAATAAAATCTGAGTTCAGAGGAAATACATCTGCCAATTTCTTATGACATTCATCAGCTTTTTCTTCAGCCAGTGTTTTCTTCAAAACTTGTCTCAGAAGTTTGTCCTGGTTTTTCTGATGCTCACCAATTCCCCATATTTCTCCTAAAATAGATTATAAATCAGTGATACTTACGAACATTTTTCTAAAATGGTAGTATCAAGAAAAATTTTAACTATGCCATTATGCGAGTTTTAGTTTAATTCCTCATCTTCCATTATTAAGCAGATCTCAAAAGGTTATTCCCTAGCTCCTGAGAAGAAAATCACTGAAAAGAAAAGATACAAACAGCTTTGTTTTAACTAGTGTCTGGGGGCCTGGTGTCATAGCCTACTGACTAAAGTCCTAGCCTTGAACGTGCCAGGATCCCATATGGGTACCAGTTCACATCCTGGCAGCATCACTTTCCATCGAGCTCCCTGCTTGTGGCCTCAGAAAGCAGTGGAGGACGGCCCAAAGCCTTGGGACTCTGCACCCAAGTAGGAGACCAAGAAGAACCTCCTGGCTCCTAGTTTGGATTGGCTCATTTCTAGCTGTTGCCGCCACTTGGGGAGTGAATCAGTGGGCAGAAGATCTTTCCTCTCAATCGTTCCTCCTCTCTGTATATCTGACTTTCCAGTGAAAATAAAGAAATATTTATAAAAAAAAATAATGTCTGAAATAAGGCAACATAAAAGGTAAAAAAAAAGGTATAGAATGTAGAAATCTAGTAAGAAAAAAAGTGATACAGTAATAGACAAAAAAAAAACCATGAAACTAAAAACCTTCTTCCTTTCTGTCTCTCCTCCTCTCTGTATATCTGACTTTCCAATAAATAAATAAATCTTTAAAAAAAAAAAAAAGAAAGCAATTATAATTTAGAATAAACCTGCAGATTAGACATCTTCAAAAAGTTAATGAAAAGGGCCCGGCGTGGTGGCGCAAGTGGTTAAGTCCTCACCTTGCACGCCCGGGATCCCATATGGGCGCCGGTTCTATCCCGGCAGCCCCGCTTCCCTTCCAGCTCCCTGCCTGTGGCCCGGAAAAGCAGTCAAGGACGGCCCAAGGCTTTGGGACCCTGCACCCGCATGGGAGACCCAGAAGAGGCTCCTGGCTTAGGATCGGCATAGTATCGGCTGTTGTGCTCACTTGGGGAGTGAATCATCGGATGGAAGATCTTCCTCTCTGTCTCTCCTCTCTGTATATCCTCCTTTCCAATAAAAAAATAATAAAAATAAATCTTTAAAAAAGTTAATGAAAAATACATAAAATAAGTATTTCCAAATTTTTATTCAAGAAACTAAATCTTTTAATTCCACTCTCATGATTTTTTGAAGTATCCTCATAAGTATATATGTGTTTAAGCATATGTATATATATGTGTGTGCATCTGTATAATCATCTGTAATATATAGGCATTACAGACATAGACACATGCTTACACAGACAAAAACAGTACAAATGATGTTAACAAAGTCCACCAAACTTAAAACTTTTAAGTAAAAAAGCAGCACTAAAATATGTGAAGAAAAGCTAAAAATATAGTGGGAAACATAATAGGGAACATACATGATGTTAAGTGGTTTAGAATGGAATAAGATAAAGGACTATACATATCAGCAAGCCTATGAGTACAACTTCAAATCTTCATTTCTGTACACAGGAGAAAAAAATTCTGTATATCAAGGTCAGCAGAGAGACTGAAGATGCTAATAACAGAATGATAAAGTGTTGTTGAAAGTTAATTAGGAAAGGTTGGTACCCAGCACACAGGTAAAGAGACCAAACGGACCTGTACATTTTGAGAAGAATGGTATCTAGAAATCATACTTGAGGTTTATAAAGAATTCAATCAAATAGTCCATAGGATATTTGTAATGTGCTTTTGGAACATTTCATTGATTAACCACTTACTGTGGTCTGACCTGTCCTCACTAACCTGGACAGTGTCTACGTAGTGTTTCCTCCTCCACCACCCATGGCTCTTCTTCTTGCTCCAACTTGAAAATCACATCAGGTTTGATGAATGGACAGCCTGTCACAACAAAGTGACATTGATTTGGGCATATGTACAAAAAAAAAAAAAGAACTACCCAAGAAATGAAGTTGGTCCAGAAACTAGAAAATAGGCTTCTTGAAGGGCAGGAAGATATGGCTTTGGGGGATGCTGCTTTCTGAAATACAATCCAAGAATGGCCTTCTGCTTTGAAAGCCGCAACGTGGAAACTGATGCAAGCAAAGGCTTCAGTAGGACAAACTCACTCTAACAAAAGTTCCATGGGTTCCAGAAACACTGGGAGAGAGAGGAGGTAGTTTATGTACGGAATTTTAATTACATAGCAAGCCACTCTTACCCACTGTGATTAAGTTGTTATAGTTTTCCAGCATCACATTCCGGTACAGATTCCTCTGACTGGGATCCAGGTGCTTCCATTCCTCCTGGGTGAAGTCAATAGCCACATCTTTGAATGTCACTGATCCCTGAAACAACACATTCCTGCTCAGTCTGAAGCCATTCATCTTAGGTGATGTGGAAGCAATATATTGAATCTTGTCCCGATATTGCTTAGAAGAAGATATTAAAAATAACTTTACCTGGATTTATCACTTCCTTTTTTCCCTAAGATTTATTTATTTTATTTTTATTGGAAAAGCAGATATACAGAGAGACAGAGAGGAAGATATTTCATCCAATGATTCACTCTCTAAGTAGACTGCAATGGCCAGAACTGGGCCAATCCGAAATCAGGAGCCAGGAGCTCTTTTGGGTCTCCCACATGGGTACAGGGTCCCAAGGCTTTAGGCCATCCTCTACTGAATTCCCAGGCCACAAGCAGGGAGCTGGATGGGAAGCAGATGGGAAGCAGGGCTGCCAGGATTAGAACCAGTGCCTATATGGGATCCTGATGTGTTCAAGGCGAGGACTTTAGCCACTAGGCCAACGTACTGGGCTTTGGGTTTATGACTTTCTAAAAGAAGCTCACCATATTAGTAAGGTCTTATCATTCATTCACTAATTGATAAAGCACAGGACCTTAATAACTATCATGAATTAAAGAAAAACTGGGTGTCAGTTCATACTGAATGTAAGAGAAATAGAAAAAGAAAACCGGGCCCGCCAGCATGGCCTAGCAGCTAAAGTCCTTGCCTTGAACGCACCGAGATCCCATATGGGTGCCGGTTCTAATCCTGGCAGCTCCACTTCCCATCCAGCTCCCTGCTTGTGGCCTGGGAAAGCAGTCAAGGATGGTCCAAAGCTTTGGGACCCTGTACCCGTGTGGCAGACCTGGAGGAAGTTCCTGGATCCTGGCTTCAGATCAGTGCAGCACCAGCCGTTGCGCTCACTTGGGGAGTGAATCATCAGACTGAAGATCTTCCTCTGTGTCTCTCCTTCTCTCTGTATATCTGACTTTGTAATAAAAATAAATTAATTAAAAAAAACATATTGAAGTTAATTGATTTGGACTCTCTCTAGATATCCAAGGCAGGAAAAACTTGAGGGATTTGAATGGAAGCCAAAGAAGAGAAGATACGTAAGACTAGACGCTCAGTGGGGTGACCAGGTGGAGACAGTAACTGATTTAGCACTGGACACATCGTCCATGAGATCATGAGCAGTCTGCTCAAAATCAAGGTTTGCTGACCAGCTTATGTAATATGCATGTGTAGCCATGAAAATTGGGATCAGATTAGAGAGTTCACGTAGATCTAAAAATGAGAACTACAGACTGAAAAGAGGCCTTGATAAAAGATTTTTAACTGGTCAGAAACAGAATTGTAACTATGAAAAAACAGTATGAAGAAAGCTATAGAATGGGTTTCAGAAAGGCACAGTGTGAACTGAATACAACATAGTATACTCTAATTCAAAATTTGAATGACCCAAAGAATATGAGCACAGAAAAAAAAATTTTCAGCAGAACTGAAAAAGGGAGCCATTCATAATTCCTACACTTTTTGAAATTTCTTAAGATTGAAAGATAGAGGGAAAACTCGAAGAGCTAACAACTAATATTCTTATAAAGTTATTTCTAGGTCCTGAAACAGAAGGAGACCATCTGGCAGACCATATAAGGCCTGCAAAATCATTTGGTCTGACTCTGACAAGACAACCATGGGTGGGACTATAAATTCAGTAAATGTATTGCAGGCTATTGTGTCATAAATAGCCAAATTGCTCTGCTTCTTAAGAAAAAATAAAAGTTACCCCATCCCTGTCCTAAGATCACACATTAAGGATAAAGATAGAGCCATTACACTGATGGGGTCTCAGAATCATTTCCTGATGAAGACGATGGCATCTGAAACAAACATTCCAGAAGATGAAGGCCAACAGTCAGGGCCAGCGTTGTGGTGTAGTGGGTTAAGCCACCACCCATGGTAGCAGCATCCCACATAGTGCCATTCTGTGTTCTGGTTGTTCCACTCTCCAGCTCCCTGCTCATGTCCCTGGGACAGAAGAAACAGAAAGCCCAAGGCCCTTGCCACTCACAAAAGAGCTGATGGCTTCTGACTTTTGATTGTACCAACCATAACCTTATGGCCATTTAGGGGTGAAGCAATGGGCAGAAAATCTTGCTCTACCTCTCTGCTTCTTTGACTTTCAAAAACATAAATAAATCTTGTCTTTTTTTTTTTTAGTTAAAAATGTTGATTTTCTAATGATGTTAATTTACATTCTTTCTAATGTTAGGCCATTTTGATATATACTGCTTTATCTTAACAAATCAGACTGATGGAAAAGCCATGTTTACAATCCAAGGAGTTACACTGTTTTCATTGACACAGATGCCAATAAAAACCTTATTTCTGTTAGGAAATGTTTATTATGTTTTAAAGATTTATTTCTTTTTATTGGAAAGGCAGATTTTACAGAAAGAGAGAAAGATCTTCCATCCACTCATTCACTCCCCAAGTGGCCGCAATGGCTGGAGCTGAGCTGATCTGAAGCCAGGAGTCAGGTTTTTCTTCCGGGTCTCGCATGCAGGTGCAGGGTCCCAAGGCTTTGGGCCATCTTCCACTGCTTTCCCAGGCCACAAGCAGGGAGCTGGATGGGAAGTGGAGCAGCCAGGACATGAACTAATGCCTGTATGGGATCCCAATGTGTGCAAGGCGAGGATTTAGCCATGGAGAATGTTTATTTTAACATGAAGCACAATGAGAAGTATAAATTTCTAGTCTCCATTGTTCTACCTAAAAAAACGAAATGTAGATTTGAAGCCCAACTTTAGTTTCTCCAAATGAATGTATTTCATAAAACAATCAAATTTTAATTCTTCCAACTCTGTTTCCTTTACCTTTGTAATTATTGTATGGGTCACCGCAGTGCCCACCTTAAGGCACATTATAGAATAAAGAATTCCTTTCTCTGTCCAGCTGTTAATGCTGAGATCCATATTTAGTTTTATAAACTCCCCACCCTTTTTTTGGCTCATGAATTTTTCGGTCATGGAAATATAAGAGTGGAATATTAATACATTCCAGTTTAGTTCTGTAATGTCAGGAACTTTTCAAAAAAAAAATTAAAAGATGGACTGGAACTTTTCCTTTGTGAATAGAAACTGGATGCCACAGTGATTCATGTGGGTTTATTCCAGTTGTCCTGCTGTTATTTTTATACCTTTATGTCTTACAAGACCCTGTTCGAGTTCTGAACAGAAGCTTCTATATCCAGTGGGAAAAAAAAAGTAAAGAATTAAAGACAAGAAGACACCATTTCATATTTACCTGGGACTCAGTCATTTCCTCTTCTCTCCAGGAAGTTAGAAAGCCTGGGCAGGCGGAACAGGGGAACGGAATAAGTCATTAACAAGGTGGTTTAATAAACCTGTACACACAGATGATCAAAGACTATTTGTAGCAAAATTATACTTGCAATCAGCTGAAAGGCCAAAAATACTGCGTTCGTGTGAATTTTTGTCCCTTTGAATTCAAGAGTTTAGTCTCCAGAGTCTCGTGTTAATTGCTCGATAGGGAAAATTAGTCCAATTATACTAATCTTTTGTGGTGGGAATCTAACTCAGATTATGTTTAGGAAGTGATTAATTGGAAATAGTCATTAGGAATCCCTGGACTGGTGCAATGGCTAAATCCTTGCCTTGCAAGTGCCAGGTTCCCACATGGGCGCTGGTTCAGGCCCCAGCTTCCCCACTTCCCTTCCAACTCCCTGCTTGTGGCCTGGGAAAGCAGTGAAGAATGGCCCAAAGCACATTCAGCTGCCGCTTGGGGTACCCACATATTCCGTCAGAGGGCTAGGTTGAGTACTGGCTCCTTTCTTTCCAATTCAGCTCCCTGCTAATGTGCTTGGGAAGCGTGGTTGAAGGCTCATGAACTTGAATTCTTGTCAACCACTTGGGAGACCAAGATTAAGTTCAATCTACTAGCTTCGACCTGGCTCAGCCTTGGTTTATGTGGCCATTTTGAGGAATGAACAAATGAAAATCATCTTTCCTTCTCTCTGTCACTCTTTCTAAACAAATAAATAAAATATTTCAAAATTATATATAGTCAGAGACTGTGCTCCCTGTATCTTGCCATGTGTGTGATGCCGTGTGCCACCTAGGGATGCTGCCAGCAAGCATATCATTCCCACAGGCTAAACCAATACAGTCTGCTTCATCTTTGACTTCAGAAGGATGGGCCAAGATAAACCTGTTTGCTTCATAAACTAACTAGCCATCAGTATTTTGTTAAGATAAAAAGATGACTTACAAATATTTACACCACACAGAGGTGCTAATAAGTATAAGGAGGTGATGCAGAGCCTAAGCAATCGGTGGATATATTATATATGTACTTAAGTTGGAGATGCCCCCAAGAGCTTTTCAATACTACTCTATTGGAACACATGCATATTGCTTCATGAAAATGAATACCCAGCGGGCCCAGGGCTGTAGCGTAGCGGTTCAAGTCCTCGCCTTACACGTGCCAGGATCCCATATGGCACCGGTACATATCCCGGCACCTAATTTTCCATCAGGCTCCCTGCTTGTGGCCTGGGAAAGCAGTTGAGGACGGCCCAAAGCCTTGGGACCCTGCACCCACGTGGGAGACCTGGAAGAAGCCCCTGGCTCCTGGCTTCGGATTGGCTCAGCTCCAGCCATTATGGCCACTTGGGAGTGAATCAATAGACAGAAGATCTTCCTCTCTCTGTTCCTCTCTGTATATCTGCCTTTCCAATAAAAATATAATAAATCTTTTTTTTAAATGCATACACTTGTAATAGAGTCAAGTTAAACTACAAAGAGGAAAACAAAGCTGCCTCACCTTCAAGTGCGGCCTATTTCCCAGATTTCATTTCACTTGAGAAAGTCGGACTTTCATGTTAGTTCCTTTCGTTATTCTTGCTATTAGTTTATTTTCATCGATTTTTGTCACTCATTTCAAGTTTTCTCCTCACAGCTTTTTTTAAGAAACTGATCATGCCCAAATACATGTCTTCATCCTAGAATAGATTCCTATTTTTAGTTTCAGACTTGAATATTCAATTCTTGCCTTGATACATCCATCCATCTAAGAGGCATCTCATACTTGCACATTGCATTTCAAAAGTAAAATCTCACTGTCTTCCTAAACCTGAAGTTTTTATTTTTTACATTCTTCCCTTTATCGGTTTAAAGAAACCTCCATGCTTATATCACTGAGATAAACAGGGTGTCATCTTGACACAATGATACAACGCATCAATTTTGTCAGCCAACCATGGCAGCTCTGTCTTTGAATTACATCTGGGACACAAACACTTCTAACCACTTTTGCTACTCTGGCCTTAATCATCAATCTCATTTATACTGGGTTATGGCAAAGTCTCTGATTTGGTCCTTTACTTCCTGTTTACTTGACTTACCTTGTGCATCATCCGGCCCACGACAATGTAAGTACCATCATAGCAGGGGTTTTCGGTCTCTTGTTCACCACTATCTCCCAAGCACCTAGAATTGTGTCTGCTACACAGTGGTCAGTAAATGGTGAGTCTGTGAAGCAAAGAATCCATGATACATGAATACATCTGGAAAGAGATTTGAAAGCAGATAATAGTTTAGAAAACTTGTTTACAAGCACTATTTCATATATGTTTAACTTCTCTACTGAACAACTACAAATTAAACAGAAGATTAACAAAGATTTTGTTTTAAAGATTTATTTATTTTTATTGGAAAGGCAGATGTACAGAGGAAGAGATACAGAGAAGAAGATCCTCTATCCAAAGATTCACTCCCCAAGTGGCTGCAATGGCTGGTGCTGTACGGATCTGAAACCAGGAGCCAGGAACTTCTTTCCAGGTCTCCCAAGCAGGTACAGGGTCCCAATGCTCCGGGACCCTCCTTGCATTTTTTTTAAAAAGATTTATTTATTTATTTTTATTTGAAAGACAAGAGTTACAGAGAGAGAAAGAGAGACACAGAGAGGTCTTATATCCACTGGGTCACTCCATAAATGGCTGCAGTTGCTGAGCTGAGCTGATCAGTGGACTGGAACTGGAGCCATCAGGGACCCATGTGGGATGCTGGTGCCACAGACAGAGGCTAAACAGACCCCAATATCTTGCCTTAATACACTGTGGTTTTCAGCAACTATTTGGTGCATAATACATGTATTTTTAAACTTATTTAAGTGAACTTTAAAAGTTTATCTGACTAGGGTGTAGGGAGGGCAGAGAGAAAGATTTTTCATCTACTAATTCACTTCCCAAATGACTACTACAGTGGCGTAACTTGCTGTACCACACACTGGCCCTTACAATGAATTGAAATTGACAGGACAAAATGTATACCCTTATCAAAGGCAAAATTTTCCCCTGGCAAGTTTTTCCCTGTAAGATTGCAATAATCTGTAATACCATTAACATGATATTAGACTACATTTATCCATATATCATTGACAAAAATATATGCAATAAATCTTGGTAATCTTTTTTAATCTGGGCTTGGTGCAATAGCATAGTGGTTAAAGTCCTCACCTTGAATGCGCTGGGATCCCATATGGGCGCCGGTTCTAATCCCAGCTGCTCCACTTCCCATCTAGCTCTCTGCTTGTGGCCTGGGAAAGCAGTCTAGGACGGCCTTGGAACCTTGAACCCCTGTGGGAAATCCAGAAGAGGATCTGGGCTCCTGGTTTCGGATCAGTGCAGCACCGGCTGTTGTGTCCGCTTGGGGAGTGAATCATTGGACAGAAGATCTTCCTCTCTGTCTCTCCTCCTCTCTGCATATCTGACTTTGCAATAAAAATAAGTAAATTAAAAAAAAATTTTTTTTCTGTAATTTGCACTTTGCGTAATGGATTCTCTTTTGGGGCAAAAAAGCAGCAATTTAGTATGTACACAAAATGACACTGCTAATATAAGAATATAAAATTTAAACTAAGTATTACTGTTGGGCCTGCTGACGTTTCATATAAAAATACATTTCCTATTACTGGGGACTCAAGAAACGCCACAGTGATGTAAACAGTGTCACACATGCAGACGCACAACCAAACCCTACCTTCTGTTCAGGGAGTCTCTCCTTCACTCCCCATCCCCTTGACAGACTGGTCGCACCCACGTTCATATTTAAACACCGAAACGCACGTCCCCGAGACGCATTTGCAGGCACGATCATAAGGCCACACTCAGCCAGCCAAAGGTCCCGTAAATTCAGTCACATCACGCCTCGCGACTCGGTCCTTCCCATGCTACACCTCAGGCAAGCACCGGCACGGGATGCCCCCGCCCGGCGAGCGCCCCCGATGGCACCAGCAGCCGCGGCACAAAGAGCTCCGCGCGGCTCCCCGACAGCTCATCACCCACGCCCCGAATCCACGCCCCAACCCGCACTTTGAGGGGCGGCTGTGACAGAGCAACAAAGCAACACTTCCCAGAGGCCCCCCGGCTCGTCGGACGTGCCTCACCTCGTAGTTAGCGATTCAAAGGTGCCAAGCTCAACCCAAGAGTTTTTGCAAGAGTGGCCTTCCCTTGGAGCCCCGCACTCAGAGCAGGGGAGTGCAGCCCGGTACCTCTCAGAATAATTGGAATGGATCTGCGATTTGGCTGCCCAGAACTACACTTCCCAGAGTCCTTCACGGCCTAAGCCTAGTTTTCTCTCAAGAGGCACTTCCTCGTTAGGATTGGCTGGAGCTTTGGATGCGCAAAGAACGCACCATGGTCTTCAGTTTGATCTGGAATGGGATCCATCGAGTTGAAAACGGGAGATCAGGGGTTCCTGGTGTCAGCGGTCGGCCTCAGCCTTAAGCTCTCCTGGCAAGAGCTAGAAAAGGAAGGAGTGATGTTATGGGTAGTGTGTGTCTGCGTGTGTGAAAATTAAGCCATGGGTTTGGGATCCAGGGTTTATGGGACTGGGAGGTTCTAGGGGTCAGTAATGGTGCGTTGGTAGACTCCTTGAATGAATGACAGACACAATGTCAGTGTGCTGTGCTGGGGTCCATGAGGTAGGTGTGGATGTCACGAAGGTGTGCGGAGAAAGAAGCTTCCAGGTGTATGGCAATGCCCGGCGGATGTCTCTGACCACTTCACTGCAATTTCATCCCTTTTTTGCATGGACACTCAACCACCCCACTAATAATTCTGTAATCTATTCAGGCATTGTTTGCCCCTGTGAGATGGCTTTTTAACCGATGTGACCTTGAGTTAATGTTACTGATAATGTCTTGGTGGGTCGGCCTTTAACTACACACAGGAGTACAATTAAACCCATGCTGTTCCTGGACACCTTACTGTGTGCCTACCCATTGCCCTGGATCTGGCCCAGACATGTAGCATGCCTTCTGGGAAACGGCTTGATAAGAACCTTACAAACTATTGGAAATGATGGGAGTATGAGCTGAAACTGCTATGGCAAAAAATATAGTTTCTGTGACCTTAAAGGTTAGCCTGTCCTTGCAACTCTTTAGCAGCATAGAAAATGTGGCTGTTGTAGCCGCTTTTATAATTTTTAACTAGAGGAATTATAGAGTGATTTGATTAATATCATAGATACGCTTTTGATCATTGTTTGCTTGTGAGGTTGTAGAGCCTGCAGTTGTAAGGGGATTCAATGTTTGACACTTTCTGTCTTGGATCTCTATGTTTTTTCCCTTTTGACGTATTTCTCCCATTAAGTTGTAGATAAGTTGTGAAAATAAAATGTAGCGGGAAGGTATTAGTAATTAGTAGGTAACCACATGTGCCTTGGCCTTGGAGTCCTGGCTGTCACTTAATGGTTACTGCTGAAGCATGAATAACGGCTTGCTTTGAAGAAACTGATTGTAATAACTTACAGAATTATCTTTAAGAGCACCTGGTTGACCATGAAGTAAAAATTAATCGGACATCTGGGCATGTCGGCTTAGTTCTGAAGTTAAAGATAGTAAAATCAAACGTTTGTGCAGAGATTTGTGATGTGTCTGATAAAAAGGACAGCTTCTTGAGCTGTTACAGGAGGGCACCGAGTGGCAGTGTCCCCGTCTTTTCGCTGCTTTCAAGCTCTGCACTCAGCTGGGGCTGGCCTCCAGCAGTGCTAGATGACATGAGACTGCGAGTGCAACTGATGGGGAGTTGTGGGGGCTGTTTATGTGGAATTCTGAACAGATGTGGCCATCAAGTAACTTTGTGACCTCAAATTAACTGACTTCTCAGTGCCTTTGACCGTAACATCCTTAAGAAATAAAGAATGACTACTTCAT